ACTGCAAACGTGTTTTAACAACCCTTGACAATGCTTAAAACGTTCAGTATCAATGTTTTAATTTTAGTACTTTTTTTTTATTCGGTCGCCATATTGTGTCCGCTATTTTGATTTTAAAAAAATCTACTTCAGGTTCGTAATCGGCGACCCCAAGGACTCTCGAGTGCCGTGTTTTGATCAAATCCAGTCATTTAAAAAAAAATTGACCGCCATTTTGGATCCGCCATTTTGAATTTCGAAAAACTTACTTCAGATTCCTAATTTGCAACCCCAGAAACCCCCTGGTAACAATTTCCAACCCATGACAATGCGTAAATCGTTCAGTATCAACGTTTTAATTTTACTAGTGTCTTTTCGAGAGCATATTTTCGGAAACTAGACCCATTCTAATTGTCCAAGACAGGTGTGTAATTAAGGGAAAGTTCCCCAATACTACCAGAGTAATTATATGTAAAAACCACATTTTCAGCTGCATTTTAACATGTCAAGAAAATAACAAAATTAAGAACATCAGCGTTTTTATAAAAAACCGACCAGCGCGACCTCTAAGAAAACTTTTTTTTCAAAATAAAAAAAATACGTGTCTCTTTTTTTACACAAATAACAATATTCTGATTTAGCGTTTATGAATTTCCAAAAAGAGTGTTTTTATGAACCACTCTAATGTATATGTATAAATAGCTAGCAAGTTGTTTAAAACGTGTTTTAGCAAAATTTTTGCAATTTTATTGCGGATTTCGGTAGAATACCCATCCAGTATAAATTGGAAAAAAATTTTATTTAAGCAAGCTTCAGCTTTACAACGTTTTTTCGCAACTTTTTCTTGTAAGAAAATAAATGGGTCGATTATCGATAGCAATCGAACTTCAGTTGTGTTGCTAGTTGCCAAAACGATATTTCACATGGCAACTGGCAACTTTCAACTGACAACTGGAGTTGCTACAAAGTGTGTATACAGGCGACAACATTTTTGTGGTTGCTGGGAATGTTTTTGGAGCGTATTTAGGAGCGAAAATTGAAAAGTGTGTCATATATTTTACTTTTTAATAATTTCAATGATATTAACATTTTGCAATGCAGTTTGCTGTTACAGAATATGGTGAAAATAACTTAACATTTTAGTTCCCGTGGAGTATGCCCTTTTGGCGAAACAATAGCGACCACTCATTGCAAATTTTTTCCTTTATCAACTGAAGCATCTCCAACCACACCAAGTTTTCCAAATTGAAGTCATTGCTGTGGCACTTCCTTCTGCGAAAAATCGAAGAGGTGCGCAAGCTTTTATGAGCGGAGGCATTGAAGTTGAACGAAGTGGTTCATCTGTTTATTAACCAATTATACTACAGCTTCTTTTGGAAGTTATCAATATGCTTTGAAAATGAACACAAAACGATATAAAATAAAAACCTTGAAAGTATTAACTTTTGCTTACAGTGCACGCGGTAGATCTAGAGGATTGGAATTATCCTTTAAATTTCGCCTGATTGAGGCCGCGTTCATGTACTTCGCTTCCTCTTAAACAAATAAACGAGATGAACTTAGCTATTTTGCTGTCTTTTCCTTCTTCTTCTTTCATTATTTTAATAATTTAATTTTACTCGCACAGCTTGTTTACGGCCACTTGCTGGTTGTCTATCTGTCAAATTTTGATTATCAATAACTCTACAGCAACTGACGATAGTTGGCATTCGTAATACAAATTTTCTTTCCAGTTGCGTTGCCAGCTGGTAACCGAACCGTGGTTGCGTTGCTATCCGTAATCGACCCAAAAATCTTATTTGAGACTGCGTATTAAAAAAAAAAGATACAACCTACAGTATATAAAGAATTTGCTCGACCACGAAGTTCAAATAATAACTCCCGCATTTACATATTCGCATATTCGCATCTAATTCTGCTTATTCTTATTCGCGGCTGTAACGATCTAAACGATTTTTCTGTGCCAATTAACACCAATTGGAGAAGTCAAGTGAAGCGGAGTCCTTCTCCACTTGGTCTTTCCATCGCAGTGAAGGCCTCGCTCTTCCTCTGCTACCACCAGCGGGTACCGAGTCGAATACTGGAGCGTTGGTGTCCTTTCGAACAACATGGCCAAGCCAGCGGAGCCGCTGTACATCGCTGTACAGCTCATCGTCTGCGGTACTCGCCCGTCACCAATATCTTCCGCAAAATCTTCCTCTCGAATACTCCAACAGGCGTCATTTTCCATGCTTCTGCGCCATATACATACCAACACGAGCATGAATTGCCTACCCAGTTCAAATTAGCACTTATTGGCAAGAGTGATTCTGCGTTGGATTTCGATGCTGTGTAAATGCGTAAATGCTGGTTCCCAAGTAGACGAAATTCTCGTCTCAATCTCGACCCTTACGTCCTCGCCTTGAAGCAAGCGCCTCGCAATATAAACATGTATTCGATTAAGAAACCACCCCTTTCCAGCAATAGGTTGTGCGCTCGGTCTGGGACCAGCTATGTAGAAACCCCTTCCACCGAAAAAATAATAGCATTTAATTATCTGTTCAAAAATAATAATGTCTTAGGTTAGGTAATATCGAAGATATGAGCGCTACAGTAAATAACTATTTTCGAAAATGAACTATATTCATTTAATAGCAGATAGTTTTCCGAGCCACGCAGTGTTTTAAATTTGATACCCTGATTTATTTCATATATAAAGGATTTTATAATAAAACTATTTTTTAGGGGCCTGCAACTTGTTTAAAAAGTGTCCTAAATCTACATTCTTCTATCGTATGCTTCATATTACCGGCTTTAAAAATCTGGTTTTAATATTTCATCCCCTAAATTTGAGCTATGTGTATAAATTTCATATATATCTTAAATAGAATTATGACTTACAAACAGTGCACGGACTTCGAAAAAATTAATAGTTGTAGATTTTACATAGGAAAATGGTTGAAGTTATTAGATTTTTTTTAAAAGAAACAATACTAAAGAGTTCGTACGCATATAGGATGAAGCTTGGCGAATTCATAAAAGGTGCTGCTAACAGAGGAGCTTGATTTTCACAACAGTGGTTCTTAATGCCAAAATGAAGTATGTGCTGTACATTTGTTGTAGTTCTTACTGGCATTGTGTGTAAAATTTGTTAGTATATGTTTTTGTCCTGCGAAAATTCCATGTCACCATGCTGTGTATATTTTTTATACCCGAGCGCACTTGTGCACAAGAGTATTATAACTTTGTTCACAGAACGGTTGTTTGTAACAGGCAAAACGAATCGAGATAGATATAAACAAATGTATACATAAATGATCAGAATAAAAAGAGGAATCGATTAAGCGGTGACTGTCTGTCCGTCCGTCCGTCTGTGCACACGATAACTCGATTAAAAATTGAGATATCTTAACGAAACTTTGTACGTGCACTTCTTTTAGGCGTAGGACGGATGGTATTGAAAATGGGCAAAATCGGACAATAACCACGCCTGCCTTCCATATAACGGTAATTTTCAGAAATACGAAAACTGCGATATTTTAGTAACTGCTGAAGATTATTTACTCAAATTTGACATTTACAATAATTTTTGGACGAAAAATAAGAATATTATAAGTTTTTGGAAAATGAAAGTAGCCACGCCCACTTATGATTATCTTGGTAACCGCTGCACCAATTGCTTCCAAGCTTGGCAAAGTTGTTAGCCTTGCTACAGCATACCAAATGGCCGAAAGTTTTTTTAAATCGGACAATAACCACCCCCACATCCCATATAACGGTAATTTGGAGAAATACGAAATCTTTGATAAATCAGTAAATATAAAAGATAACTTATTCAAAATTGATGCTTGTAACAATTCTTTACCAGGAAATAAGCTTATGATAAAATTTTGTAAAATGGGAGTGGCACCGCCCACTTATGATCACATATATGTATCTCGGTAACCGTTCTACCAATTTCTACCAACCTCGGTGTGGTTACTGTGCTTGCCACATAAAAGCAAAGCGTTGAAAATTATTGAAATCGGACTAAAATTTAGGCCGCTTTTCATATAACGGTAAATTTCAGAAATGCTTGAAACTTCAATATTTTTAAATTTAAGGACGCTAATAACCAATTTTTCTAAGAAAAAGAATGATGCACATTCAAACACAATAATAATAATACTACGTCACCTTTATTTTGATACTGACTTTACCTTTATTCTTATCATTTTTTGTAGCCAGCATTTCCTCAAGGTAAATTTTGTAGTTAATGGGTTAACGCTTTAACAAATTTGTACTTATGACAGTACATTTCCAAAGCACATGTGTTTATGCTTATACGTCGTTCATCGCTGTCGCTATAAGTTGAAAGCGAAAAAACTTAATAATAATAATAGATTGGCGCTTACACAATATGTTAGTGTTTCTCCTCCGATTTGTGGTGTGCGCCTTGATGTTATCTCGCAAAGGGGAGGGACCTATAGTTTTACACCAACTCCGAGCGGCGATTGGTTTTTTATGAGTAGCTGGTTTTCATGTCAGAAATACAATCGGCCTGCCGAGGTGGCCGATATTAGAAAACAATGATTTTTTTCTTTTGTTTTTGATGTTAGTCCGAAACTGGGCTCGATACCAGGCTCTGCGGAATGGTAGTGTGCACTTCTAACGTGTACACCACAGCGACCGCCACATAGGTATGCTTAAGGCACGTTCATAAATACATATATATATACATACATACATAAATGTATGTATCCTTTAATTCATTATAACTATGACGCCCATAGGAATGAGCCCGCGAAGGTCAGAAGTTTAAAAGACATTGGTGAAGTTAACATTGTAATAACCGCCGCAGGGAAATTCATTAACTTTTTTTTTGTTGGGAGACGCTTGATGCACATACATTCATATGTTTGTATGGCAGTAGCTGTGAAGTGACATAGCCTAGCTACATATGTCCTTTTTGGCCAAGGTCACTGAAGAAATTTTAGGCTAAGTATATTCACTGTATGCGTTAAAATATTAAAGGCTTAATGTGTTTTTCTTTCGTTTTTTAGATTGGATGGGAAGCCCCTTTGAGCGAGTCGTCTGCGCAGATTTTAATGGTAAGTACCCACATTTTCTATTCCTGTGTATGAATTTTCGTTGAAAAAGTTAAAAACAATGCTTCAAAAAATTTTAGTAAGTGTGGTGATTAAGGCGTTGATTTTTTACCATTGTCCTCTAGCGCTATTCACAAATATTACGAATACCGCGTGAGGATGCGCATGTACATACATACCTCCTTTACCAGAAACATTGTCCTTGAAAACGAAAAAACTATTCGCAGGTACATATGTATTTTTGAACATACATATGTACATAGATATTATACACATATTTGACTAGAAAGCATTTACTTTTTTATTGTTTTTTACCTTCTGTCTGTTAAAGATATTAAACCCTTCTGAGTTTTTTTTAGTTAAGGGCGTAAAGATTTAGAACCCCGAGTTCGTTCAATTTATGTGAGATAACTGTTATAAAGGACTTCCACGAAGTACATTAAATTATTTAAGTACACAAAAAATGAGCACACAATTTTATCTTTAGTACGCTGAATTTTCAATTACATACATACATGTATGTATGCATGTGTACGCTTGAATAATATTGTACTACAAGGAAATATTACCTTATGCATTACTTTTTTAGTCTACATAAAACTCTCAAACTTTGTTTCGTCACTTTTACGTTTAAATTAAAAAGCAAGAACTAAAACGATCGCAACAATCAGTGGCAACATCAACGCCCTGCCACATGGCTCATTTGCAGCAATCGTAACATCGCGCAACTGTGAAATATGCCTGCCACATTGGCGAATTCGCATTTGAGTCGCCGACGTGGAACAGTAGCTGTTGATGGCTATGCCGCAATGTAGCTTTGTTGTTGATTGCAGCAATTACAATTGTTGCTGCACTTTTACGAGCTCACCAACCTATTGTTTTTGGTTTGTTGTGACGGCAATAGCCTTCAAATTATGCTCCTCAGTTGTCGTTCCTTTGTACTGATGCAATAAAACACAGCCGAAAAACAAATAAAATCCGCACTTAAAATCTGCTGTTTGTGGATCCACCTTCTGTACCTCCGCCGCCCATCTACATGAACTTCGGTGTTTTGCACCTCTCCGCTACTGAGGCTCACCCTCTGTCTACCGTTCTGTTGTCGCTTGCGTTTTGTTTTTTGTAGTTTTCGATTTGTTGTGTTTATGTAATTCGAAGCCTGGCTACAGGCGCAATGGGGCGCAACATTGGGCTGCGCTAATGGAAAGTGGATACCAACCGGCAAACATATGGACATATTACATACATACATTTGTATGTAGTGGGGATCGGTTTACAGGGAAGGCAACACACTGCAAACGCGAAAAAATATTTATGTATATTGTATTTTCTACAGTGGGAGCCAAATATTAACCATTTTGTATGCCTTTTTTGAGCATTTCTTCTTTCTGTTTGTTTATGCCTCTTTACGAGATTAAATCTCAAAACAAGCAACAGAAGAACGTGATTTCATGCTGCTTGGGTTCTGACACAATGGTCAGATTGTTAGTTGGGGAGAGGATGGTTAACGGTGTTCTTGCCCCTCTGATGATTGAATGGTCAGTTCGTGTGCTCGGCCGGTTCCAGTCCGTTTGAAATTTCAGCTTTTATATTTACTACGTTTCACGACAAATAAGTCATTGGCGGCGAACGCTGGCTCTGTTTGTGTAGGTACACCTTATTGCATTGACATGTATGTACATTAGGGTGGTCCAAAAATACGCGTGAAAAGTAAAGTCGGAATTTTTATGCTCTCACCCCCTGGGATTGTTCTATGCCGAAAAAATATACCCCTATTTTTTTATTTTAAAATCAAAAAATATTTAGAGGTCGCTCAAAGCGCCCAAAGTTTTTCATGTATTTTGTATGGGGAAAAAACAACTTTTCGTATAAATGGTATAGAATTCTTAAAAGTAAATATTTTTCAATCGGATAACCCTGTTTCTCTGCAGCAGATTCCCAATAATAATACTAAATTTTTTATTTAGCCAATTTTTCATCGCAACTATAATTTACAGGTCCGCCAAAAACCCTGAAAAATTCAATGGGGGACCAATAAAAATCGTTAGTATTAAAAAATGTTTAAATACGCAATTGGGTATTATTATTGAAAGTCTCCTGAAGATAACCAGAGTTTCGTCGGTGTCGGTAAATAGGGGAAATTTCCCCTCCCAAATCCGAGTCGGTCGAGAAATCCGAGTTTAGTTAAGAATTTCAATTACACTCTTGGTATTGTAATTCTACTTCCATAACAATTTCGTGCTAATTGAAATTTTTTTCTGATACGAAATTGGCCATTTCTTATACATTTTGTCGCTGAACTCATATCTGAAAAATATGCGCAGCATACTAAAATACATCTCTTGTCCTTTCACAAGCCGCACAGTGTGATTTTGGAACACTGCACCCGAATTAGTCGTAGCGCTTTCGACAGAAGCAGCATTTTGATACGAAACAAAATGGTTTTGAAAGCTAAAGTAAATCCCTTTCAATTGTGGCCACTGAGCCACAATTACCCCTTGACATTAAAAAACATTGGTAAGAAGTAGTTTTCTTCGAAAAGAAACATGCAAAATACGCGGGATTTATTTCAAAACAAAAAATTTATGTATTTTTTTATTATACTAGTATTATAGATTTTGAGACGAGCAACACGATTCCACTGTTCAAAATTCGAAGAAAAATTTGAACACCTTAATTTAAAAAATGCATTATTTATTGCATTTTTTCTATTTACATGCAGCTGTGCATCCTTCACTCAATTTTCCCCTCAAAAATCCCTCAAACAATAAGTGCAATTCAAGACCTTTAATTTGAGCCAAGGTAGAGGGCCTCTAGGCCCTCTGAGAGCCAAGTTATACCAATTTTAAACCAAACTTCGAAACTGCGGTACAAGTTTTTACTCCGAAATTAGAAAAAAAATTGCGTAAAATGTCGAATGAAATATCGAAGTTTAACTTTAGAATCGTAATAATTTAGCTCTCAAAGGGCCTAGAGACTTCTACCGTGGCTTAAATTAAAGGTCTTGAATAGCACTAAAAGTCATTTGTTTTTTCGAGTTAGCTCTAATATCTTATTTTTCAGTCGAGAAATTTAATTTTGAAATTTTAAAATTAGTAAGGTGTATTTTTCTCAAAAACATATGATTTGTAAAAATATAAATTAATTATAAACAATATATAATATAATAAAATAAAATGTCTATCATACTTGGGCGTACAAAATTTTTGATTCTTATTTCCCCTCCCAAAATCGAGCTCACGATCCGGCCCTGTATACTTAAATATGTAGATACATGAGATGAAATGCCTTTGCATAACTGCAGAATGTTCATCGCGGACATATTTTGTACCCAAAAAATGTAGTGTTCATTTATCTATTACAAGAAATTAAATTTATTTGCAAATTTTCGCTCAACCACATTATTATGTTTTAGTTTGAAATAATGCTACTGAAGACCTGTACTTTTTGATAAAAAAAATCAGCATAAAAAACTAAAAAAAAAACAAAGCAATAAATTTATATTTAAGTACGAGGTGTATTTTTACAACGCTTTTATCAACTTGCAATGTTGTGTTCCAGAAACTTTCAATGTTGTGGATCCAGAAGCTTTCAATGTTGTGTGTCCGACACCAAAGCAAAGCTTTGAAAAGCTCCTATAAAAAAGCATAGTGAATAGGGCGAGGTAGATGACATCTAGATGTCGCCCTATGTACTACGTTTGCTACACCGGAAATAGACGACACACCATTTCTTTAAATAAAATTAGTTTGACTATTGTCAACTAAATCGAATGCTTTGTAAGTGAAGTGACTTGTGGACCAATTGAGGTATAGGTGGACCAGTTGGTAGCCACTTTGGGACCAGTTGGTAACTAGTTCGTGGGACCAGTTGGT